ACGCGTAAGTTAAAAAAACCACCCGCGGCTTTTACCTAAAAAAAAAAAAAAAAAAAAAAAAAAAACAAACACCTGAGAAGATTGTATTAGGCAAAGAACCAAGCCTTTGCAGATTTGTTTTCAGCAAAATTCACTGAGCAGTAATTAAATGGTTAAACTTTGCTTTGTTTCTCTTTTGGTTGGCTTTTCAAGGCAGCTTTTTCACACAGGTACCTGCAGACAACTTATTTCTAAGTAAAGGTTAAAAGAATTGAAAACAAAACAGTAAAAAATACCACCATATTTATTACTTTTGTTACTGGATTTCATTTCCATTTTGCGGTGACAAGACAGAGAGCAAGCAACTACCACTGGCATTTCTTTTTGCTCTTATCTGACCTGTTTCCCCATCATTCCCAGGAAGAAAGGCCAGCTAGAACATGCCCCAGGCCATTCGCCCATCTTCTCCTCTACTCCTATCTCAACTCTGTTCTTGAACCTTCAACTCTCCCCACCACCAAACACAATGCTGGACCAGCTATAAGCAGACAGACTTACTCTGCTGCTTCAAGACATAAGTGCTCATTTGCTCCTCTCTGACAAATAAAGAGCTACCAGCCATAGCAGGAGGCAGCATCTTCCACTCTTACACTACCATGACATGCAAAGGGTAGCAGAGATACCGGAACCTCACATGAGCAGTGAATTGCAAGGGACAGAAATATTGATGTCAATAGACAGAGGCCAGCAAGTTTGCAAGATCTTGTTCAAGACTGATTGCTGCTTCTTGAGTCAACCAACCACTCCAAGTTCTCAGCTACTGCAGTATTTTGTTCAGCCTCCCATGCTAGAAACCTTCCTGGAGGCTTCCTTCCCAGAGCACAGGGGCTACAGATGAGAGGGAAATATTTAAGGAGACTGAGTTATCCCATCCCATGGAATGGGACAGGATTTTCCAGCATGCAGATGGGCAATGAGACCAGGACAGTGTTTATAAGGAAAGGAGGAGAGTGAGAAACATCCTGAGCAACTTGCTCTTTTGGAATAAAAGTGTTTTATTAAACAACAACAGTCCCGACACCTGCAAAACACGTAAGCAGTAAGTTATGTCACTTGCATCACATGCGCATGAAAAAGCCAAACTTATGACAGAAAGTAAGAAGTTATTATAGTTCTAGAGCAAATGTCCGTTACAACTACACCCTAGCTTTTCTGGGAAAATTTGTGGAGGAGGAGGAGGAAGATGAGAGCACCGGTATTGCACAAGCAAATGGAACATCCAGGGTCTGAAAAAAGAAAATGCAGGATTTTCTTTTTCTGATGATCTTCACTGGGGAAATAACTCCACGCAAGAGCACAGATGACAGCTCTCAAATGCTGAGTGGTGGCCCTTATGGGAACACAAACTGGTAATAATAAACTTTAGGTTTATTTGCTTGTCCTCACCTGAAGAGTCTAGAGATTCAGGCACGTACATGATGAACAAGAAATGTCTGCTGGATTTTAACGCAATCTCATCATAAACCACGCTCCACCAAACCAAAGATTTTGGCATGCAGAGCTCCACCAGAGACGGGCGCCCGGATTTTAAGAAAGCTTGATAGAGATACAAACACGGGTTGCTTTCTCTGGGCTCCTGTACTAAGACAGGGATGGAGAAAGGAAACGCATTTGGGACACTGGGGGAATGAGCGCAGCCTTGAGCGCGCTGGAACGAAGGCGAACTCCCACCACCCCATTAGATCATGCATTCTTCCAGCACTCCTGAACAAAGGCACCATTGACTTGTGCGCGTGGGCGGCTCCGGACAGCAAAAGGCTGCCCAGTAAATTATTGCATGATAATCCAACATTGATAAGTCATCAAGACTGCTTGTTCTAGTCATGTTTCCAAAGGGGGGAGGAGGGGAAACTTATTTTCCCCTTCATGGGCTGAAGGCAGCTTCATAAGAAATACATTTCTTCATTTGATCGCTCCCAAGTCAGTGTAAAAGTCAGAAAACATTTTGTCTAATAATTCAGTACAGCTTGCTGCCTTATTTGTACAGCTTTGATGCAAAGATGTTAAGTCCGTTTCCCAAAACGGCCAGCTGTGTTTATTCACTAGGGACTGGAAAGATCCCATATACAACACAAAGTCCTATCTGCACAGGAAGCCTCAAAGTCCTTCTTCAGCACAAACGATAAAAGCTCGTTTTAAAAAGGCACTTTACACTTGGCAAGCACAGCCAGATCACAGATGATCAAGGACGCCATGGGCCATTTGGGGAGGGCTCCATTTCATTCACATATCCGGACTGCAAAGCCACCTCCTGCCACCACTGTCAGCACCAAGACGAGCAGGATCTGGGTTACAGTGGGTCGGGACACTTGGAGCGTTCGTCTGCTCGTATC